GGCAAAAATGCCAGGGGACCTGCATGGGTGAACACAGAGCTCCTGACCAAGCTTAAACAGACAAAGAAGGCATACAGACAGTGGAAGCAAGGACAGGTAGCATGGGAGGGGTGCAAAGACATTGTCTGAGCAGGCAGGGATCAGGTTAAGCCAAAGCCTGTTGAGAATTAAATTTGGCCAGGGACATCAAGAGCAATAAGAAAGGGTTCTATAGGTACATCGGTGATAAGAGGAAGAGTAGGGAAAGTGTGGGCTATCTCTAGGAGGAAATAGGAGACCTGGTCACAAGGCATAGGGAGAAGGCTGAGGTACTTAATGACTGTTTTACTTCAGTCTTCACAGACAAGAGCTCCAGCCACATGGCCTGGGCTCCAGAAGGCAAAGGAAAGGACTGCAATGATGAAGAACCAGCCGCCGTGTCCCTGCCTATGGCAGGAGGCTTGGAACTGGATGAACTTTAAGGTCCCTTCCAGCCCAAATCATTCTATGAATCTGAGCACTGTCTCCTGTGCATTTATAATGTTCAACACAATGGATCAACTGCTGTCTTTGGGCAGCTAGGAAATGTGGCTCTCCATCTGAGAGGGGTGGAGGTCAAAAGGGAGGAAAGTCCATGCTTATGTTTTCCTGTTTTCCAAATGGGAAATGGACTGTAGTGGATAGAAAGAGCTCCTGCAGACAGTAGTGTTTGGGAAAAAAATAAATAAAATAAATAATTAAAAAAAAAGATCCCAGTGTTGTGTGGTTATTGGTTGTCTCTTTTATTTTTATTATTATTTTTTTTTTTTTAGCAACTGTTGTAGTTGGGATGGGATGTGAACGTTTGTCCCCTAGCCCCATTAGTTTTACATTCTATGATTTAAAACTCGCCTCACTGCTGTGCTGTAACTGTTCCTAATATAGCCGCACAACATGGATTGCAAGCACAAACCTTTGAGATGTTACAAAACGGTCTTGCTGTATATAGACTCCTAAAGAAACGGAGATGAAGAGATGTCTATTGGAGGAAGTAAAACAAATTAAGCACACAAACACACATGCAAAACATAGTCTTTGTAAGCTTTAGTGATTGGGGGAACAGAGTCTGAAGTGATCTGTCCTGTTAAATCAGCATAAGCGTACAAAACTCCAGGAGGGAGTGTAACTGGGCTGTTAATGAATAAGGGCAGAGCAGTGTAGCCTCTGTAGTTAACACATTTTAATGTCTCATGGCCTGGGCAAGCCAGTGGGTGCTTGTTATGTTATGTGAACAATAGTTCCTCAGTCTAGACACTGTGTTGGGTCTCGCCCAAGTTAATAGCTTTGTCCATGTTGATAGTCAGGAAAAACACATTGCAAAACACAATTAACAGCCCGTACGCTTCTAGTTTGATAGTTTATTTTTTGACTGCTATTAACTATAGCTCTGTGTCCATATCCAGTCTTGGGCTGCTGAAAAGTATTCAGTTAAGCTGCCTCTGAGCTTGGGAAGATCGATCAGCAGCCTGTCTGTAGTGACTTGAGAGCAGAGCTATGTTTGTCCAGCTGCCACTGCTGGGAGTCTAAAGTGAACTGCTGGCATCACTTGTGTCTGGGGCAGGCTAGCCAGGTAACTTGCAACAGCCTGCCTTTCCTTTTTTTTCCTAGGTGTCATAAGATGGCAGCAGTACTACACGACAGGGTGGAGGCAGCTGGCTTTCACAGGGAACAGAAATTTTAAAACATCTGAAGCAGTTTGAAGAGGCATTCACTGAAGGCAGTGGTTGCCTGTATCTTGCAGCCTTTGTGCGGAGAGCCCTGTGCTCTAGGGATGTGAGGGGGTGTGGTGCTTCCTGGCACTCCTAGCCTGCTGCGCAAGCCTGGCTGGGTTGTTAGTACCTGCCACCACGGACTGCAAGCTCAGTCTCACCTGTGACAATGTGCTGCTGCCTGCTGCTGATTCCCCTCTTTGTAGGTCTTCTGGTGATCCCTGCTATCGTCCACACCTTCTCCATGGGACCAGCTGAGCTCCAATCAGTTTGGGCAGGGGGATGAAGGCAAACACCACATGGAACCTGGCTGGAAATAGAGAAGTGCTGTCTGCAAAGAAATCACGCCCGGCATCTGTCAGCAAGAACATGCTGACTCCTGGGTTGGCTGCCTGTGGGCACCTCCCCTGGCCGGGGGAGACCTTCAGTGTCTGAGGGAGGCATGTGTGTGTGTGATAAGGGGGGTTGGCGGGGAGGTGAGGGCCAGATCTGCATGTAGAACAAGCCACAAAGCAGAACTGCAGCACCTGAAGGCATCCACAGGATCATCTGACATGGACGGTGAAGAAAAGGGTGTTTTGATGTTGGCACTCAGGCCAGTAGGTCAAAAGAGAAGGATATCGGCAACCATAAAACGCTAGCACAAGGAATTTCATGGATCTGTTTTGAAATTCCAGAGCAGATTTGGGTGACTGCAGAGTCGTATTGGCTTATTTTTTTATTTTATTTTATTTTATTTTATTTTATTTTATTTTATTTTATTTTATTTTATTTTATTTTATTTTATTTTATTTTATTTATTTATTTTGAATGCTTTCCTCTGTCCAAGAGCAGCTCTGCTTTCATGCCCACCAGTATCATAACTTGTCATTCTAATGCTTTCTTGAACAACATATAGTTGACCTCCGGTCAAGCTTACTAAAACACAGTTTCAACGTTTTTTCCTTAATCTCACTTGACAGTTTGGCCGTAATGGAAATTATATCTTCCAAATGCAGAAATGTTATGCTGTCCTAGTATCTTCTGCACTTCAGTGCCCTTGTGCACAGTGTTGGGCTTGGAACTGAGAGGCACATACCCCCTCTTGTGGTCTGCCGGTGTATACACATAGGTGTATGTGTCTGTTTTTTTTTTTTTTTTTTTTTTTTTTTCTCCTTTTTTCTTCCTGAAGTGAATTCTAAGCACTTGTCCATGAACACTGATTAGGGTGTTATGAAAACTACTTTCAAGGATGTTTGGAGATGCTAAATCAGTACTGCTACACAAAAGGTTCCTTTGGTTAGCAGCAGAGACAAGGAATTGAGCTCCAGGGAGCTGCAGTGCCAGGGAAGTTCGGAAAGCAGTAGGAAGGCATTTTATTTGGAGAACATTTGATATGGGGCTAGAGATATGGCAGGATAGGCTGCATGTCTGGCCCAGAGTTAGGGGCTGATGTCAGTAATACCTAATGTTGAAATCAATACCATGGGTATATGTACAAAAGCATGCTTTGAAACTACTGCTGCATACTTTTTGGATAGAAGTACAGAAAAAGTCCTCAAGTAATATATTGCATAGGGGCGGGGTTTCTGTAAGCAGTGAACATACCCTGAGAAGCATGATCTAACTTCAGAAGCAGCTGTGCTTAGAGAAGGGTTTGAACAAAATACCTTCAACCTGTATCATTTCACAGCACAACTTTTGCACTAGGCTGTGCTGAGGTGAGTCCCGTGATGGGCCAGCAGAGTCTGAGGAGGTGTCTGATGAAGAGGTTTGATAAGCTGTGGGGCACACTGAATTCTGACTGCAACCCTTCAGCTCAGAAAGGGCAGAGGCTGCAACCATTGTTCAAAGACCAGCTCCTTACTGGTCCTAAAATGCTAAATAAATAAATATGAACTGGAGGCAGGGTTTAAAATACACAAGCCACAGTGCTGCAGGCCGGTGTGAGTCAGCAGGGAATACTTTGCCCTACATATAAATCCCATCCAGCAGCACCACGCCTGCTGGGATTCAGCAACGGAAGGGAGAGGCTCTTCACCCTGAGTCCACAGTGGGTCCCATGCTGGCGGCTGCCATCTGGAGTGCTGTTTACTTGCAGTCCTTTCAATATGGCAATGCTGACTTCAGTGCCTTAGCGCAGCAGAAGTAGGTGATGCAGACACCTGGAGAGGAACAAAAGGTGCCTTTCCCCACATGGCTGTGTTGCCATCTATCTCATGAGGAGACTCCTGAACATGGTTGAACCCCTGAGTGCCACAAAGCAGAACTGCAGCATCTGAAGGTGTCCTCAGGATCATCTGATATGGAGGGTAAAGAAAAGGGTATTTTGACATTAGCATTCAGGGCACTTGGACTGACTTCATCAAGAGACCTCTCTCAATTGTTTTTCTGGAGAATCTGGAGAAAGAGGTCCCAGTCGACTGGAAGCTGACAGACGTTGTGCCAGCTTTCAAAAAGGGCAAGAAAGGAGATCCTGATAACAACACGCCTGAGAGTCACACCTCAGTGCCTGGTACAATTATGGAGAAGATGATTCTGGGAGGTACTGAAAACCACCTGAAAGACAATGCAGACGTTGGTCACAGCAAACACAGGTTTAACAAGAGCAGGTGCCAGGTTCTGCACCTGGCACAGGGCAACCCTGGCTACATGGACTGACTAGGGGG